ATACAAAGATATTTATACATATTAAATAATTAAATAAACTAAACTAAAAATATTCAAAGGAAATTAAATTGACAGATTTGCAGGAAATAAAGTTGCTATGTCAATAAAATTGCCAGATCTACAGGCAACTAAATAGACATCTATGATTTACGTGATTATCAAGAGTAATAAAATTAACATCTAAGGATTTGCATAATCAATCAATGGTAATAAAATAGACAAAATGATCTTCATGAAAGATCTACATGACAATAAAATTGACTTCATATCCTACTAATTAAATCTATCTAAAATTTTACCTATCACAATGGCTATTTAAGGAAACGTGCAATGGATCTATCATCAGAAGGTAAGATAAAATCTCATCTGTAATCTCAGAAGAACTGCTATGAACAAGATATTGGGATATAGCTGTTCTCATATAAATTTGATCAGGCCAATCAGCTACAATCAGAATAAAATTGCCTGCTTTAATATACCTATCAATTGTAGGGATAGAAGTGACTGCATTAGTAGTATTAATGTAAGATTGTACTAAATAAAGTTCATTTTTTAAAAGGTTCACAAGCATCACATCTTTTATTGATTAGGCATTTCTCTTTTCTTTTAAATAAATATTATAACTATAGACCGTTAGTTCTTCAAGTTTTATTTTGTCATCCACAGAACGGAATTCCTAATACTGGTTATGAAAGAATGAATATAGTGACATCAAATAGTTATCAACACCAGTTTTAATTAATAAAGCATCAACCAATGCAGAATTATGAATATCTTGCTTTGGTATTGCCAGCTCATTTTCTATCAGATTAAGTAAAATAGTAGTAAGATGTGCTGCAATTGATGTTGTAACTGTGTTAGGCATTCTTTTAATATAGATGTTATTATAATCGTCAATATTTAATTGCTGATCTGTAAGTCAGTAATATAAAATGATTGACAACATATAATAAAAATTGACGTGCATATAATTAGACAAAAATTCTTTTTTTTGAATACCAAAAACTGCTCTAGTAAAATAATGAAAAAACCACGTCAATATTCAGTTACTTTAATTGAAGAAGGTGTAATATGTTCTGAATTACACTATGGAATATTTGC